GAGTTTCGCCCGGTCTGCAAAGAGTTGATTGGTGAGCCGTTCTCCGTCGATGTTAATGCCGTCGTCCCGGTTCAGACGGTAAAAGAGCGATTCCAGTACCGCCGAGAAAAGCTTAAAATAGATTATGCATCCTTGGCGTACTCCTCTTTTGATCTCGATTCGACACGGTTCTTCGAACAGCTGGATGTCGATTGCGATATCAGTATTCAGTTTCTTGATCGGTCGAAGATGGAGAATTCATACGGCAGTCGTTTGAAGCGTTCAGTATGGCGTTTTGCGTGATGGAATCGAACCGTTTTTCTGAAACCGGTGGATGCGTAGTAGAGGGACATTTGGTATTGCTTTCGTTTCTTTGTCAGCTGCTTCACAACGTGGATGTGGTCTACGGCTGAGAACCCGTTTCAGAAACCAGCGTGTTCTTTCCTACTGAGCAGTTTCAGGTCTTGCTGGAAACGACCGAAGATGATTCGCGCAAAGATCTTGTAGACTTCTGACAAGAGATTGATGGGTCGATAGTTCTGGAGGTTTTCAGCAGCTTCCTTGAATAGTAGAATCGTCGTAGAGCTCTTTGCTTCTCCCAACTTTTTCAACCTGATTCACTCTGCATGTTGAGCCGGCTGGATGAAACGATATGGATTGACACTGGTCAGCGAATCTTACCGCGACCAACATCTCACCAAGCACTACCTTTCTGGATCTCGATTGTCTGGTTGCGGTTTGTGGAGAAAGAAGGCTAGAGGGTTGGTACCGTAAATGAATGGCTTTCGAAGTTCGCCTAAAATGCGTTACTCACGGAAGAATACCAGGGTCGTAATTGCAGGCTGCCTAGTCGCATTGCCAAAACTGAGATTACTTACGATCCGGTGTTGGTCAGGGCACAAACTGACACAAACGGGCGGCATGAGGATACCATCAAGATCTTCGTGGCCATTCACAACACCAGAACTCTGACTTTTGACGCGCTTGTCCAAATCTACACCCTGAAAATCCCAGCAGATGTTCTTAGCGTTTGCGAAATCGGAAAATCCGCTGAAAGTATAGCACACTGGTGTAACTGTGATCAAATATTCCTCGGGAAAGCGTGGGCAGGTGTAAGATTCATCATG